TCAATATTCCTCCATACTGCTCGTCCAATGTATTCCAAGTGTCCTGAGTGGGTAGCATCCAGAATTTACTCGAAACAAAGTCATTTAGAATGTTTTTAGAGCATAAACAGTAGTGTATAGGATTTCCTAAAAGCGCGTTCACGAGTCTACGGAAACCGCGGCAGACCAAACCAGACGAAAGTGCGCATTCAGCTCGGCAAAGAACTCATGCTCTTCCTCAACACTGAAGTCCTCAGACATTTTTCTTTCATTGTTTCTTTCTTTGCACAGGTAAACAGCACATTTCTTCTTCTACGCTTGCATTATCGGCAGAGCAGACGCTGAATGCGCACTTTCATCTGGTTTGGTCTGCCGGCTTCCGTAGCGTCGTGAACGCGCGCGCTTTCAGGAAATCCTATACACTACTGTTTATGCTCTAAAAACAAAAGCCTCCCAGATCTCCAGATGCATTTGAGATATCAAAAAAGTACTCCAGAGTGTTGTTCAGCATGGGGGTGAGAAGAAAATGAAGGCTAATCATGTTTTGGGTGTACTATTCCTTTAAAAGTATGAAACCTCAATGCTATAGCAGAAGAATAAAAAACATGTAGTTCTGTTCTCAACTTATATTATATATATATATATATATATATATATATATATATATACACTATATTGCCAAAAGTATTTGCTCACCCATCCAAATTATTGGAATCAGGTGTTCCAATCACTTCCATGGCCACAGGTGTATAAATTCAAGCACCTAGGCATGCAGACTGTTTTTACAAACATTTGTGAAAGAATGGGTCGCTCTCAGGAGCTCAGTGAATTCCAGCGTGGAACTGTGATAGGATGCCACCTGTGCAACAAATCCAGTCGTGAAATTTCCTCGCTCCTAAATATCCCACAGTCAACTGTCAGCTGTATTATAAGAAAATGGAAGTGTTTGGGAACGACAGCAACTCAGCCACGAAGTGGTAGGCCACGTAAACTGACGGAGCAGGGTCAGCGGATGCTGACGCGCATAGTGCGAAGAGGTCGCCAACTTTCTGCAGAGTCAATCACTACAGACCTCCAAACTTCATGTGGCCTTCAGATTAGCTCAAGAACAGTGCGCAGAGAGCTTCATGGAATGGGTTTCCATGGTCGAGCAGCTGCATCCAAGCCATACATCACCAAGTGCAATGCAAAGCGTCGGATGCGGTGGTGTAAAGCACGCCGCCACTGGACTCTAGAGCAGTGGAGACGCGTTCTCTGGAGTGACGAATCGCGCTTCTCCATCTGGCAATCTGATGGACGGGTCTGGGTTTGGCGGTTGCCAGGAGAACGGTACTTGTCTGACTGCATTGTGCCAAGTGTAAAGTTTGGTGGAGGGGGGATTATGGTGTGGGGTTGTTTTTCAGGAGCTGGGCTTGGCCCCTTAGTTCCAGTGAAAGGAACTCTGAATGCTTCAGCATACCAAGACATTTTGGACAATTCCATGCTCCCAACTTTGTGGGAACAGTTTGGAGCTGGCCCCTTCCTCTTCCAACATGACTGTGCACCAGTGCACAAAGCAAGGTCCATAAAGACATGGATGACAGAGTCTGGTGTGGATGAACTTGACTGGCCTGCACAGAGTCCTGACCTCAACCCGATAGAACACCTTTGGGATGAATTAGAGCGGAGACTGAGAGCCAGGCCTTCTCGTCCAACATCAGTGTGCGACCTCACAAATGCGCTTCTGGAAGAATGGTCAAAAATTCCCATAAACACACTCCTAAACCTTGTGGACAGCCTTCCCAGAAGAGTTGAAGCTGTTCTAGCTGCAAAGGGTGGACCGACGTCATATTGAACCCTATGGATTAGGAACGGGATGTCACTTAAGCTCATATGTGAGTCAAGGCAGGTGAGCAAATACTTTTGGCAATATAGTGTATATATATATATATATATATATATATATATATATATATATATATATATATATATATATATATATATATATATATATATATATACGTATATATAGCATAATAGAATATATGCTATGTGCAAAGCTGTGCTCTAATGAAGGCATGCCATCTCTTCAAACAGCCAGAATATAATTATTATTTTTCAAAATAGCCTTTTTTTCTGCTTGCAGCAGTCCTGCATTTTTTTTCTCAGCAAATATTCTTGAAGACTTTCATTGGAGCTTGAAAGAAACTGTGCCCCCTTAACTAAGGAAGTAATCTTTTTATCCATTGGCTGTTATACTGAGACAGTATCCTGACTGGAATCCAAAAGATTCATTTCCCTCCTAATATTCCAGTCCGTTGGAGAGACAACTGTTGCCTCCTCTTATTCCTCAGGCAAATCAGGCCAGTCATAAAGACGACAGGCCAATACTTCTATGACAGAGAATAAAAGATGAAAAAGCTGGATTGCTGTTATGCCAGCTGCTGAAAGCAAGTGACCTTTCCATGGACATGAGAAGGAGGAATTCTGGGTTACTCTCCTGATCTGCATTTGAGTACTGATTTAAAAGGATAACCTCAAACCCTTTCCTTTTCCAATTTCTCTTTGATAAAATAATACAGATATCACATCAATAAGTGCAGCTTTTTCTACACAAACTTTCTAGAAAATCAGATAAAAGCCAATAAACATTTGAAGGCAATACCAGAATAATAACATAAAAAACTCTGCTTGGTTGTTTATGTTCAAGGTTAGTAATAAACTTAAAGATATATTAGTGACATAATTCATACATTTAGATTTTAATTCAGTTTGTTAAATAATGTGGTATACAGTGAGAAAGTCTGTGAAAATCAAATCTGATCTCTGAGTGATTAAAAACTTCATAGCACAATTCAATACTGTGAGAATTTTTTTTTTACTAAAATTACACTGTCTGACTGATTAACACACCAACTTATTAATTACATAGTAAACTTTTAACATTATTTCAACATAACGCCATCAAGATGGCAGTGTAGAAAATGGGTTAATTGAATTTCTTTTAAGTAAAAAAATGTGTTTAAAGCACATAGACATATTGGCGAGTAAAAATCAAAAGCTAGTGTTTTATCCTAAAGAAGAATTCTAATCCAGTGATCATCTCAACACCATGGGACCACAAGTCTTGCTATGTATTGCAGCATCGATAACGGACCATGTGAATTTATATTTTTGCTTGATAAAAGTTCCAAAACATTAACAAAAAAAAAAAAAAAAGAAATTGCCTGAGAAAATATCTGCAGTAGGATCGCCTCTGTTTTTGTATCTGCTCTACACAATATTTTTTCTATTTGTTGAAAAATAAACAAGGAACTCTTAGAATTCCAAAAATATTGTTAATCATTTCTTAACCTTAAAAAAAGTGGTTTTGTTACTTAGACGTAGACCACTTAATTAATCCCAATTCATTTGAGCAGTACAAAAGACAAACAAACACAAATAAACATGTAATAACCTTAAAGAGAAAAACAAAGATGATTAAAAAAGACAAAATGTCACAGGGAGCTTAACGACCAATATTAATAAAACTCAAAAAAACAAAGAAAGACACGAAAAAAAAAAAAAAAACAGTTATCTTAATAAATAAAGCGAAAAAATCAAAATAATTTAAGAATTTAATAGTCGAATGGCTGTTGGTATAAAATAATTGGTTTGTATTACGAGCCTCTTAAGCAAAAGGCTGGATTTTTAATAATTGCGAGATAAAGGTTTCTTAGTAAGTTGACCTTCACCAAAAACACACCAATATTTTTTTTATTCTAAAAAAATAATAAGAGTGATTAGATGTCTTCAAAGACTATTTCAAATATTGCTATCTCTAGTTTCAGTTTGCTAAGAAAGAGGTACATCTAAATGAAGCCCTTTCTCATTATGGTGCTGCCAATAGCTTTATTACAAAGCACTTAGAAGTCAAGGTGAGTAAACAAAGGTTTTACACCTACCACTTCCTGACATACTAAGTGCAAATGTTAGAGTTGGATTAATTACCATGAGATCCTAAAGAAGATATCAAAGAGGAAAGAGTCTGGGTTGCATACATTAAGCTCAATAACAGTCCATTGAATTTCTACTTAATGATCATTCTGTTTAAAAAGGAGAGGATGACATATTGGAGCTTCATCAACAATTTCAAGCTTGTAATATTTTCAAAATTGGGTCTTGCTTATTACCTGTTTGTTGATTTGGATTTAACAATACACCTATTGAACAGTAATACCATTAAATTATAGAATGTGCGTTGAAAGTCAAGTGGCATTAGAACACTACTCTTTCTCGGAAAATATCTATCAGCCTAACTTAGTAAAAATCCTTTAATAGTTTCTTAGTGAGGTTTTTTCCCCACTATGTTTTAACCATCCCTTATGGAGTACTGTGCTGCCACACTGAAAAGTGCACAGGGAGCAATTAAGGTTAAGGGTTTTGCTCAGGGAGTCAGAGTGACAGTTGGAGTTTTTAACAGGCGATCTTGCAGCCTCCCAGGACATAAATGTCCTGCTCTCTAACCAGCAGGCTAACACTCAGGGAATTTCTTACAGGTATTCAAGAGCTTCAATAAACAGGCTTTCACAAGGTTTTATTCATTTTAACACCATCTGTAAGATCTCTTAATCGAAATCTAACATTTCAGGTAACTTTATGGATGTAAATTCAAATTTAAATAAATGATAATCCATATTTTTTCCCAATATTAGTTCATATAATTTAAATAAAAGTGCAGATAACAGCAACTAGTTTTACACCATTTTAATCATAGCGAAAAAAGTGAGGATGAAAAAGGCTACACCAGTCACCTGTTAAGTAAAGGCAGAGATTATTTTGGGTATTTTTGAAGAGATATTATGAAGATATTTTTTAGTTATGAAATTATCAAAGAGGCCAATTAGTGCAAAATAATCAGAAAAGGTGCAGACAAATGTGTCGATAGAACAAAAAAAAAAAAAAAAGTCCACTGAATGCAGTGAGCAAAACAGCAGTGACCCTGCATACTATCCACACCAACCAGCAAAATCCAGGGAATAATGTATGTGCCAAACACTTACAGGCTCTGTCAGCTCCAGAACACTGGCCAAATACGTGATGGGACTACAGTCACGGGTGTTTCCCACAAGTGTACAAGGTAGAAACATGGGACCTAAGTCATCCCCATCCAGCACATCCACGGTCAGTGTGGTGGTGGCTGTTCGGCGGTCACTTGGAGAGGGTGCCCGGTCCTGAATAGAAATGAGAAAATATTACATTTAATTAAATCTGGAACATACCTTTTACATGTGTGTTTTTTTTTTTAATAGATTTTCCACAAAAAAATAACTGAAATTCCAGTATAACAAATATTCAAGGACTCGATTCAATTAATTAGATAAAGAATAATCCAATCAAATAATGATACAAAGACTGCACGTCTAATTGCAGTATGTCAAACAATCTACACCAAGAGTTTCTGGTCAGTGGGTAACATTTAACTTCACAGCTATCCTTTTGAAGCAGTTCTAGTAAGAAGCATCAATATTTCTGGCAAAAAACATTAGTCCAGTTATCTGTTCGGTCTTGTCACATTTCAATATACATACTTAATGACTCTTAAACTGTCAGCTGATATACCTTAATAGTCCAAACCCATCACTGCCATCCCAATGAGCATGTCCCATAATAGGATGATAGAATACTTGTAATATATAATATTAAAAGTAAAGGAAAGGGAAAATTATTTTGGTTTATAAATTAAAGGACCATATTTTGAGGCTCATATTTCTATATTTCTGTAAAGTGTGAATTATATTGAGCTACTGTAAAAACAAACAAAAAGCATCTTATCTACTTTTTTTTCTTCTTTTAAAGCTCTTAAATGCTTAAAAAAATGCATTACAGATAATTTAAAAAGCAGTTATACTTTTCTGTGTAGTGCATTTTATGACCGATGTCAGGCAGAAGAAAAGGAAAAATCATGTATTTTATGGAGAAAAAGGTTTTACTAAGAAAGCCTGCCACGTTTCTTTTCAAGTCATTTTTTTTGACATGGACAAAGGAAATCTTTTTCAGGAAATACTGATTTCTACCCATTGCTTTAGAGGTTAAGGTTGCTGGAAAAATTAAAAATAAAAAAACCCTCAATATACTGTTCGGTGAAATAGTTTTAGCAGTGTTACAAATTTCTTATTTTTATGATTATCTTAATTACTTTTAGTCCATAATACAAGTTTTTTTTTGACACTTTATGGCAAGAATTGCCTTTTTATTTATTTTGGTACCCTCTTTTTTTATTTATTTTTTTGATATTTTGAGTATTTCATCTCCCTCTTTTAATTCCTCCCAGTCTTATTGAGCTATTACTACTGTTACATATTGCTAAAACATTTAAATCAATTAATCGAGAATCCTACGTTGTGCACAAACAGTTAATATATGAAGAATACTAACACTAAAAAGAACTATGTCACCAGAAAATATTGCCCCAGTCTAATGGTGGTATAAGAAAATACAGTGGTGTACTCTAGAGATTTAAGTAAATACATTGCCATTTGTTTTTTTACCTTACACTAACAGTAAAACATATGTAACTTTGTGGGAAATTGTCTACACTGTTTTATTATTTTATCCATATACAGCAGTAGTCCTGTAACATTGTCAGGTTGAGTGGAGGTTTGAAGAGGACTCAAGTGCAGAAAAAGAAGCCGAGGTGGTTTCTAGCAGATTTAATAATTTACGACGGCAACTGAAGCAAAAATCCAAAAATAACAAAATACTGAATTACCAAAATACCGAGGGACATCAAGGAAAACACACACAAGGAGCCAGAAACAATAAGGAACCAGCAAACAGTAACTGAAGAGGTGGAGGTAATTGGGTGACTGAACAAAGACCGGGCTAATCAGCAGATTGGGAGCAGGTGTGGACAGAAGAATCTACAGTAGAATGAAGCTAAGGGAGAGCAGACTGACATAAGAGGGCAACAGAGTATAAACAAGAAATACATAAGAACTCAAATACAACCAGAAAACACCACAAAAGGGGAATAAAACCAATAAAACTAGAAAACACTGAAAAAAATGAATCAAAGTGAAACTAAAAACTCAAAAAGAAAACTTAAACACAATCGAAAAGTGGAGAACCATGACAAATATACTGGGAAGTTGATTACAAAACATTTCTAGCACAGTGCTGGTAAATCTTTCAGCATTTCACTGTTTATTTGCATGACGACATTGAATTTCTTCATCGCTTATTAAAGCTTGAAATAGGTCAGTTTGGAAATAAAAGAGTCTGTTTTATTCTGATTCTTATTTTTTTTACTTCTGACCCATAGCTTACACATAGCTGACACATACTGCGTCTTTGTTTGTTTCTCTTACTGGCTTATTTGACTCATGGTGCAAACAACATTTTTTCAATATAACATACAATAAAGGTTTTTTGAAAAATGCAGAAAAATTAATCCAATTTTCATGGACTGAAAACATAAAATCAGTTTTTATTGTAATTGATTTCAGACAGGGCTGTTTTTCCAGAGGCATTCGAGTCCCATGTCTGATCAAAACCCCCTGGAATAATTTTCCTACTTAACACTGTTTTCTTTTCTAAACCAAAAGCATAGATAGTGTGGAGGGAAAAAGTATGTGGTCTGGCAGTGATTGTGCAAGTTTACCTACTTAGAAGAACGAGGGGGTCATCATATACTTAGTGTCCCCACCCATCCTTTAAATACAGAATCATCCTTTTTAGGCAGTGAAAAATTGTATCCCATATCAAACCAATAAGGGATGCGATCAATATGATATTTTTGTAAATTTCCAAAACATGTCACAAGTACGTCAACTTTACATTTAACTAAAATTTTTAAAATAAACTAAATTATTCTAGTTGCTTATAAACTGGACCTTTCCAGCTTTGCATCAGCTGCTGTCATGGTTGCCTAGAGACGGACCCCCCTTATCTGTCCTGCTCTCTGTCACTCATGTTTACACCACATCTTCTACATCTTCCACAGAAGGAAATGCTTTCAAGAACACAAACATGAGTGGAAAGAAGTAAATCTATGGCTAAACCGCATCAGTAGGGATGATGACAAAGAAAATTGTAAAATATTTCTGGCTGTTGGCAAGTGTTCACAGTGGCACACAGCGAGCTGTTCATGGCTCAGGAGTCAGAAGGACAGAAACACTACAAATACAAAAGGGTGGAGTCAGATTTAAAAAACATGCACGCCAAGGAAAAGGCCAGTGACTGGAAGTTGGAAGGGATTCTGCTGGAAGTTGCAGAGAAGTGGGCTGCCATTCGGCTGGCGTTTGACAGGGAAGGGCCATTCTTAATGGCTGCTATTGTATAAGCAACAAATATGGCTAAAATAATGGATTTGTTTTTTTAGATTTCCAAGTTATAAGAATTGTTCTTGCATCTTCTCTGTATGTTTTAGAATTTCTATTTTTAGAATCAGTATTAAGAGATCCAAGAATAGGGGGCTAGCACATTTAAATCTTCCCATTAACTAAATTATGTGTAGATTCTGAGTTTGAGTGACCTCCCCAGTTCCCCCAATGACAACTGGGGGACTCAAGCCTTGTGTTCCCATTTTTTTATTTATAAAAAAGGTGACACACTTTAACTATGAAAGACAAATAAGAAAGAAAAGGCAGTAAATCATTTTTAGGAAGAAATTAATTAAATTAGGTTGAACAATATGTATTTTTTTCAATTCTAACAGCTCAACTCAGTAAAAACATTGGTGGCCATCTTCTGTCAGTCTTCAACAGAGGCCAATTTTACAATAGTTTAATTCAGAAATTCCAGGATAAGCGATTAAGTCAGGCTCAACCTGGCATGAGAATTGCATCCTGGCTATCAGTTCCAAAAAAAGCCAAGCCAGTCTCCATATGTATGTGCTATGTCAAGCAAAGTGTACGGTAAGTAATAAAGCTAAATGAAATGCCCTATTTCACAAAACCAAAATAAAGGATTGAGTTGGAATGTCCTGAATATCCAGGACACATTAAGCCATAACTCTGCATCACAAAAGCAGTAAGTAGTTAGCACTGTAATTTATTCTGTGCAGTTAGCCTGCTCATGACCTGACTATAAGGCAGGCTAACTTAAAGCTTGGAGTTTTATCTGCTCAGTCATGAGCGACACCAATCAGAATCCAATGACCTATTCTTCTTTGGATCATTGGTGGGTGGCAGCAAATGTTAAGACACATTACTATCATCTACTGTGGCAGGTCTGTGGGCCCGAATATCTGACCAATAGAATTTATATTCTGGTAAATCAGCCTTTTTCCTTCATTATCTTATAAATGCTGTTGACCCTGCATGTTGTTGTATTTCTTTCTATCACCCTACATAAAAAAAAACAAAAAAATTTTTTTTTCAGTTTTTCTCAGTTATTATCTACATGATCATTACAGCTATTCTACCAAGGACACCCGCTATCTGTAAAGACTGCTGGGTCCCAAAATTCTCTCTACAACATTTTTTTAAGCAGTTTCGGTGGGCAACTTGTACTTTCAACTCCATTCTTAGATTTTCTTAAACTTGGTAGAGGTCTGGAGACTGGCTATGCCACTCAAGGACCTTGAAATGTTTTTAATAGAGCCACTTCATAATTGTCTTCAGTATGTTTGGGACAACTGTCCTGCTGGAAGACCCAGCCGCTTTCCATCTTGAATTGTCTCACTGATGGAAGGTGGTTTCACGATTCATGGCGCAGTTTCTACCACATTTCACATGTTTCCCTTGCAAAAAAAATACAGCCCCAAAGCATGATGTTTCTAAGCCGATGCTTCACAGTAGGTATGGTGTTCTTAGGATTTGTGTCAGCATTATTCTTGCTCCGAATATGGCCGCTTGAGTTTATGCCAAAAAAAGTTGCATTTTGGTTTAGTCTGATCACATGATATTCTTCCAATCCTCCTCTGGATTATCCATATGCTATCTGGCAACCCTCACACAGGCCTGGGCATGTACAGCTTGAGCAGAGGCCCACACCTGACATTGCTGGAATAGAGTCCCTCTCTGTATTATGTGATACTGATGGTAAGTTACCATATTACTTCTCTACAGGTCATTGATCAGGTCCATCTGTGTTAGTTCTGGGATTTTTTGGCTACTGTTCTTATAATTTTTACCCTATAGAATGAGATCTTGCATGGGGTTCCAGATGAACAGAGATTATCAATGGTATTGAATGTATTCTATTTTCTATTGCGGTTTATTTATTCACACAAACCTCCTTGCTTATTGTAGATTCACTAGCACTTACAGGTCTGTGAGGGCCTCGTCTTGTTTGTTTGCAGGTAACTAAACAATCAGATTCTACCATAGTTTACCAGTAAAAAAAAATTAATTTTTATATATATATATATATATATATATATATATATATATATATATATATATATATATATATATATATATATATATATATATATATATATATATATATATATATATATATATTATAAATTCTTCAACAGATTGTTTTTCTCATTTTTTTCTGTCATTGCTGAAGTGTACCTACTGTATGATGAAAATAACAACCTCCCATCTTTCAAGGTAGTAGAAGTTGCACAGTCACTAGGTTATAAATATTTTTTTTGCCTCACTGTACTGATGCAATAACTGTCACCAAATTCTAATTGAATATTGATCCATTTTTTAGATTTACAATACACTTTTATAGTCACCACACAAAGATAATCTCACTCATAAAGTTTGGTTTATCAAGACACTGAATACAATAATAAAAAAAATATTGAAGCTTAAAAAGAGTGGATCTTCTCACACACAATTAAGTTTTTATTCAAGGGTGACTTTCAGGAGACCTTCAGCTGAAATAGGTGGATTTCTGTGAGGTCCTCATGAAATATGCAACTGATCCGTGAGGAATACAAGGTCCTTGTCAGACATCATAAAGCCTCTCCTTTATATCTGCTAATATTTTCAATCTGCTTTCTCTGCATTAATAAGGAAACCTGGATAAGAATTCCTCAAGATTAAGATTAAATTAATTAGAATCTTAGCAACTTGGTCATTGCTTGAAAGTAATGCATGCTATGTAATAAGTGCAGTGCAAATTAATACGTGATTCATCACTTAACAATAAAAACTGCTTTCCTCAGAGTCTCTTCAAAATATCCTTGACAGATCTTTTGGATCAATTTAAAATAAACTATCTTCGTCTTTGTGGGTTGCATACTTATTCCTTTAGGATATGTGCTTCACAAATGTGCCATTAAGAGTCAAAAAAGAAAATGTCTAAATAGCTTTCAAAATCCAAATGATCTGATTTTACAAAGTTAGAAGTTGAGAACTTTTCCACTGTCCATGAATACTCCAATTTTCAAAATATTGATTAATGCATTACCTTGAATTTTCTTACTGCTTACCATGGAAGGTTGCCTTTTTGTGTTTAAATGTGGTTAAGAAAAATACTTTTTTTTTGCTTGATCGTTTAATGAGGCATGGCCCAGGTTTTCCCAATTGGCAGATGATGCAAATCAGGGTTGTTTCACACAGAGATCTGTGAGATGTTAAATACTTGGGATACCGGCCTCAGACTTCTTCATATTTTACTCTCTTTATCTTCTTCCTTTGTTGACCTTTAAAAAGCAATCTGTTCTCTTATGTTCTCTATGAAAAATTTACAAAACATGTCTACTAAGATAGGATTATTCACATGTGGGAAATTTTGAAAACAAGCCTTTATTTTTCTCCTTTTCACAAAAACCTGCTCCTCTGTGTTGGTTTGAACCTTCATAATGATATAAAATCTAAGAACTAATATTTGTGATTGTCATGTAATATAATGTAAAAAGTTCAGGGGTCTCATTAAATCTGCAAAGTAATTTATATCATTAGATGCATAACATGAAAATATTCTTAGGAGACCGTTAAATACAAAGATGAGCTGGCAAATTATTAATGCAATTAGTTCTGATATGACACTTTTTCTATTAGTTAACAGCAAAAAAGATGGGACTTATTTAATAGGTTTTTGATTTGCTTCATGCAGTTTCAAAGCTTGACTAAAAACAAAAACGATACGTAACACATCTGCTACTTCCTAAAACGCTTCTAATGCTTTCTTCAGATAAACACCGGATATTCTTGCTTCTTAAGCCCTCAGAAACACATTAATCTTTTAGTGTACTCTTGGCTTTTAATATGTTTTCAAAGTAACTGGGATCTAGGACATGAACACATGCAGCACACTCGGAGAAGCCTTTGTGAGCATGGTTCTCATATCACAGCAGAACCCTAAAATGCATCTTATGTGAAACAGTCATGACTCAGTTTAGATCACTTTAACTTTTACAGTCTATGCATTTACTGCATTGGCAAAAAAAATATAATGTGCTTTCATTAAAAAAACATCGAGTGGAGGGAAATAAAAGGCAAACAATTAGATTAGCAAAAACATTAGTGATTAATCTCTTTCAGGTTCCCTTAGGCCCGCGGTTCTCAAAGTGTGTGGCGCGACCCACTGGTGGGGAATTGAGACGTGACAGGTGGGGCGCGCCAAGTTCCGGTGTGTGTGTGTGTGTGTGTGTGTGTGTGTGACTATAAATGTAGAATGTGTGAGAGCAAACTGTCCTTATAGCTGTATGTTGCCGCTTTTTAGACCAATCAAACCCACAAAGTAATCATTACTAGCCTACATGCAGTCTAATTAAAAGAACATTAGATATGAGAAAAATTTCCCCTGGAACTGAAGTGCCAAAATAATGATTGACGTGACGTCGGCATATTATTTGTAACAGAATAAACTTTCGCGCCCCAGTGTTGCCAACTCAGCGACTTTGTCGCTATATTTCAGACCCCTCCAGCGACTCTTTTTCAAAAAAACAAATCTAGCGCCTTTTGGAGACTCTTACGTGAAAGCACGTATCGTTCCTTTTCTTGTCCTCCAGCGGCAGGTGCTGCCGTGGGGCGCCTCCCCCATCCCCACCCCGTTCTCCCCCGCTATCGCAGGAGTCCCTATCAGCGCTGCAGTCAGAGCAGAGACACAGCATGTTTAACTTTTGCGTCCAGACTGCAAATAAAGCGCACATGCGCCGGGATTGACGGCGCAGGTTGATCATAAATAACTGAATTTGAAATATTTTATCTTAAATAAATAACGGCGTTTGATTCACACAGCCACATGTTCATGTTTCTGGTTAGGAGTGGAGAGGGAGTATCCACTCATCGGGCAGAGAGCTGTGTGCATTCTTCTTCCCTTTGCCACATCATATCTCTGTGAGATGGGCTTTTCAGCTGCTGCTTCAATGAAAACAAAATACAGATCTCAGCAGAACATTGAGCATGACTTGAGAGTGGCAGTATCAAGCCTGCAACCCCGTTTTGAGAAACTGCAATGCAAAACAGGCTCATTGCAGCCACTAATGCAGGGATAAATAGACCTGTCTTGCCAGATGGATTTCACTTCTTTTCTTTTATTAACAGATTGCAGAGTGGCACTTTAATTTTTTCTATCTTTGAGCTTGATACAAATTTTGACACAGCTGCATTTTTATTTTCTTTATTTTTGAGCTTGCTGTTATTTGATGTAGATTTGTATTTAGATACTACTTGTTACTTCAATAAAATTGGAACATTTTAAGATTGTTGAATATTTCATTAGCATTGTGTTGGGGCGATGGGGACAGGCGGGGCTTGAAAATTCCCCCTTGTCCAAAGTGGGGAATGACAGAAAAAGTTTGAGAACCACTGCCTTAGGCTGACTAAACATAAGAAAGGCTGTTGAACAATAGAATTACAATAATTACAGTTTTCATAACAGAAAAATTCAGGTACATTTTGGACCTTTAATGCCCTATCTTTGTTAAACAGATATTAAAGGGTACATATTTTCGAGAAAAAAAAATAAAATAAAATATATGTATTTAAAATAGACAAGGGATCCTTACAAATCCTTGAGAATGCTAAATTAAAGAAGATAGAATAAAAAAAAGAAGGTTTGAAAATAAAAAAGGAATAATCACTTACATTTGCTTGTATTATGACTAAGTATCGTGTTATCTCTTCATAGTTGAGCCGTTCTCTGAGGACTACTGAGCCGAACAAAGTGAGAGGGATGTCGAAGGTTCTGTTTGCTGTCTGAAAAACATACAGGTATGAGACACAGGCAAATACTGAGTCACACACAAAGTTTAGTCTTAAGGCAATATATGTCGAATATGGTTAAACAAGCGTAACAGCAGGGTTCATTTTATGCTTGTATTATGATACAAATAAGTTAAGCCGAAGACAGAATTGTCACATGAGCTCAGACCTAGCAGAGTAATAAGGGAAATATAGTAACAATACATCAAATGACAAAAAGAGGTTTAGATTCCATGGTGAAGCAAAAATCAAATGCAGAAATAGACAAAAATAATCACGTAAACATTTAAGTGTAGTGAATAAGGTAATTTACAAAAGAAAAATGATAACATAAAATATAGCTTACATCGTATTTGGAAGATAGGGAGAAATTATGCTTTACTGAAAAAAGGGTGACTTCAAACGCTTACAGCAGTTACATTTTAAATAGTAAACAACAGAGAATAAAATCAAAGCTTTTTTTTTTATCAGGAAATTTTGAAAAAAAAAAACCTTTACTATATTTTATTACACAGAAGCACACCAAGCTCCCTCAGTTTTGTTTCATGCATGACTGCATGCCAGTTTTCTTATTCAAATGCCTCAATACTTTCATAACTTCTCATGCTTTGATATATTTCAATTCTTAATTCATTAATCAGTTCTCAAAACCTATCACCTGGTTCAGAACATCTAAACCTGACATTTCTTTTCCCTTTACTCCTCTGATATGATTGTGTACATGGTGCTCCATGATGCTGGAAAAAGCTATTGTTCCAAGAATTATAACTCTAGGACATCTGTTGGTAGCTAATCTTGTAGGAGATTTGAATATCTTTTTTATATACAATACAAGGCAGCTTTTCGTGGCAGCAGCTAATTAAATAACTACTTATTCAGGCGAGAGCCAACCCACATGAGCCAACCAACATGTATGGAATCAAGATGCTTTGCTGTCAACATTATAGGATCCACTTGTTCCTATGAATCTGATTTTCCAGAAGTCCCAAACAACCTGTTGGGAGCTTTAGTAGGGACATTTCCCAGAGTCTTCTGTAGTGCACCATGCTTTAAGTCCTATTATGACTGGCTTGTCCATCCATCCATTCATCCATCCATTGTCCGTCAAGCTTATTTCATCTGGTTTTGCAAGGGGTGCTAGTGCCCATCTCCAGCTGTCTACGATCGAGAGGCGGGGTACACCCTGGAAAGGTTGCCAGCCTATCGCAGGGCAACACAGAGACAAACAGTACAAACTACCGTTCATGCACACACTAAGGAGAATTTAGAGAAGCCAATTAACGGAACAGTCATGTTTGTGGACTGTGGGAGGAAGCCGGAGTACCAGGAGGCAACCCATGCATGCAAAAGGAGAACATGCAAACTCCATGGAGAGATCCCGGGCCGGGAATCAAACTCGGACACTTCTTGCTGCAAGGCAACTGCACTACCCACTGCTACACTGTGCAATGGCTTGTTTTCTATTTTATTTCCATGGAAAAAAATTAACTTCTTAAATCCCAGGAAATGTCCTGTCATACCTCAACTAATTTTGCACTGTTGCCAACCTAATCCCTTTGTTGCAACCTGTTTAGTAGACTCTACTTGCACTTCTGCGACATTATTTGGCACTTGAAACATTAGAATATTTCTCCTTGATAGTTTATGTTATGAAATTAGAGACAATTTAATTGTGATTAAGGTATTTTCATTAAAGTTTTTAACATCAGAATTTTGACTTAGGACTGCAGGTTTACCAATATATAAACTGAAACATTCAAGCTTGAAAAGAAGAAAAAAAACACACACACACACACACACACACACACACACACACACACACACACACACACACACACACACACACACACACATACAGTATATCTTTCCAAATCTGATATCATGACATTTAGACGTGGATGACATTCCTTTAAAATGTATATATCTTGGCTGTATAAAGGTTGACACCAAAAAAGAATATTGGTAACTCACTGGATCTTTAGGGTTGTACTGGATGGTGTACTCTATCTGTCCATTGGGGCCGTCATCAATGTCTGTTGCACCATTATTCCCAAAAAAACCAGAAAAGATGGTTGTTCCTACAGGCGTTAGCTGAAAAAAAAAAGGAAAGAGCTCAGCCTGCATATGATGTCTACATTTTTAAAACATGGTAATTAAATCTTCTCTGACAGTGTCATACAAACATTCATTGTTTTATGAAGCACAGATAAAACGAGAGCAAAATAAGATTCCACTGGATCTAGCCATAAGGGAAGTTAATCCCCCTCCGTTTTCTACAGAACAAAGAGAAAGTGCTTTGCATTTTTATTACCATTATGCATAAATCGGACTTGAAAAGGAAGATCAGCTGAGAGCGGTTTGTATCTCTTTCAGTTGCACTTTAACATGTAAAATATGGTAAGTTTTCAAAAATGTGTCATATAAAGTATGCTCAGCAGTCTTTCTCTAACATGACAGATGAAAGAACTCACTTCCTCACTGATAAAATCGGGTAATCCAAATTCTCTGATTTGACATTATCAGTGTTAAAGCTAATTACGACTAAGATAAATAAAATGTAGAAAGAGGTCACAGCTTATTTAACTAAGACTTTTACTGCAACAGCTGAAACTAAATAGTATTCATAGGCAGATTCTGCGATATTTTTTTTATCACAAAGACTGAATTTAACATACTGTAAATTTTCAAATTATCGATTTTGAAACAGTTTTAAATAGTTTGAAATAATTGCTAATGTTTTCCATTTCTTTCAACATAGAGTTCTGTAGGTGTTCCTTTAGCCTGAGTGCAGTAAAAAAAAAAAAAAATGAATCATTAAATATAAGCTGACCTGATTATTTATTTAATATTTCGTTCTCTTAATATTTAAAATGGGAAGCTAAAGGTATCAAATCTACAATTAAAAATGCTGATAATTTATATTGGTCAATATCCCAAAAAATATAATTTTACAAAAGGCATGAAGGCTGTAAGAAAATAACATGAGTGAGGTAAATGTATTTAATGGCAAGATTTTAAAACCACTTACACCCCTGGCAGTATATAAAATCCTGCTCATCCACACATCTTTATCTTTACTGTGACTTGCCAGGTCACAACTTGGGAGACTATTTCCCTGCTTAAAGGGACCTCATTCTTCAGACTGTAATCTAAGGCTGAGTAGAGCTGCTTCAAAGAACCAGATAGCTCAGAACAATCTACCTACACTTCTCTCCCTCTCTGAGTTTCAAAGGAAAGTCCTAGAATCAGAGATCCGGCAGAGACTGAATTAAATCAGCTCCTTCCATGAATGCTAGAGCTAAAAACCAACTAGAAAAAGCTGACTTCTTTTCTTAGAGCACACAGCAAGCCCACTGTTGCCAATGTATAGTCACTATAATTAGCGACTTTTCAGACCCCTCTAGCAACTAGGGACAAAAACGGTGCACAGGTCCACTTCGACAGCAGGTACTTTGTTATATGACTCAAAGATGTCCACCAATAAGTCTGGTTAAGTTCACCACAAGCATACGTAGCTTAACTTTAAAATCAAGTGACAATCTTACTGGTTAATTTTCCAATTTTGTAATAATCTGCTACTGCAGGGACTCTGGCATTACAATTGCACGAAGCGCCACAATTTTTTTTTTGTTTTAATGGGGTTGCAGTTGAACATTTCATGACTCTTTTATGACTTTATTTAACCAATACAGAGTTGCTATCTTCAGCTAATATGCAGACTGCAAACTATTACTGCGCTGGACATATCAGAAGGTTTGAGAGCCATATTGGAAACTGAATTGAATGAACTGTCCAACATGCAGCAAACTCTGGATGACCTAAAGTCTATTTTGAATTTTATTTAAGTTTTTTTTATATCATTTGAGAGAGAAAATAAATTTCCTTAATATTTATTTTTCGATGCTCCATTATTATTTCAACCGACTGTTTTATATTAACAAACTGCATAGCGCTCTGATGTTGTGGTATTTTAAGCATGCTTCTAAATGTTATCCTTTATGACCTGGGAACAAACAGCATTGGGTTGGGTTTGATAATTAATGTACTTTGCTTGTTTATGATATTAGGACAGAATTTAATAATTAAAAGAAAATCTGCTAGTTAATACTGCTATTAGTCAGTAAATTATGAGCACAGCACATGATAACTGAGGACAAATTGGATATCCCTCCAAGAAAGCTTTAAGCATGTTTGTCTGTTTAATATGCATTTTTAGAACATCTCTAAGCTAAAGCAGAAATCAGCAGTGGGAAGCAAAGAAGTGTGTTTTAAGCAAATATTCACATAATTTTTTACCATTCCCACAAAACTCCACAGCACAACAATTTGCCATAATGGAGAAGCAGATTAACTAAAAAAAAAAAAAATTGAATATCAATAAAGAAAAACTCTTTTACTCATTTTATCTTACTGTGGTTGAAATGTGGTTCTTGGGATGTAGAAACATGGATTTGCAGAACACGGCCCTGTCACCTCTCTTTTGAGGTGCTCATGGCTTGTTTTTATTTGTTTGGATCAAAGATACAAAATTTGGTGCTAAATTTAAACAAGGCAGGGTATATTACATGCGCTGAGATGTTACATTTTATTAGTCTATTTTTTCATACCTAAGGATCTAATCCCTAAGAATAACGTTTTAAACTTCACTCAGTAAAATATACATTTCTGCCTCAGAAGCCCACTGCCAGTGGGTAGTCTAGCTGTTTCAGAGTAAGTGGTCGGCCTTCTAAATTAAAAATAACCAAAGGCTTATATAGAGAGAAAATAGAAAAGAAATATTGAGTGTTCTGCAAAGATTTAGATCATTTAAGGCTTTGTTAACTGTTACTTGGGGCTTAACAGAGGATCAAATTGGGGTTTAGGATCGCTACATCAAGGCTAACAAATTAAAAACTGTCATTGAATCGATGCTAAAAGTTCCAACAATACTAAAACGAATACAGAAACGTTTAAAAAAATGGCCCAATCATATATAATTCTTTTCTTTCACTAAAAGGGTACATTTGGAAATGTGTGGTGTTAAAGCTCAACTCAGTCTCTTACAAAACTGCTGATAAATATTTAACAAAATAATCTAAAGCAGTAAGTTTTGTAAACAAACATCCATCAAGTGCTTTTTGCTCACTCAAGCACAGGCACATACATACAGATTCATAGATCGGCAATCAACTTAACGTTAAGCACCTTGCCCAGGGGTGTGTCGACATCCGATAGTGAGAAACTAAAATTGGCTTCTCTACACATTGATAGTGGGATATTTATACTTATTTCCATTTTTTTTTTTTTTTTTTATTAGCACTAACATTAAAGTACTTCATGGGAATTTAATGAGGAAATCCCAACTAATATGGAGGGAAAATGAGGCATGGTACCGGTACTTTAAAAGATTTGACAAACTAAACTGAAAAATGCAGGAAGCAGTCATATTTAATATCATTTACTCAGATTCCCTAAAATTAAAATGAAAGAAATATAAATATATTTTTAGCATGGTGGTCTGAGCACTGGGGTTGTACATTAAAAATGTGCCCTGTTTTATTGGATCACAGTGATGAATTAAAAAGATGGGCGTAAATGATTGTTGCTAACCTAAAAACAAAGAAAGATATACAAATGAAATACACATGAGGTTCCTCAAGGAGCCATTCTCATGCCAAAAGAATTGATCATCTTACTTTTCAGCCTAACTCAGATTAAAGAGTACATAACATATTTTGGCATTTTGCTTACATTCCTCTTCTCCAAGCTGCTTTCCACCCCATTTCCTTACCAGCTTTTTCTCTTTAATTGTCGCTCTGCTTGAAATCTTTGTCATGCTTTTGCAATGCTGCACAGCCCCTTAAATTGCCCTGTGGGGATGATTAAAGTTTTCTGATTCTGATAATATATCTGTGCTGATGGTACACAACTATACTATATCTCTTTTCCACCACATTAGCCACAGTCTCTTACATTCACCACGAGAGTGCTTTAATTGTGTAAAATTGCCTTGCCGGTTCATATGAATAAAATGATATTGTTTATGTCACAAACTGGGGGGAAAAAATTATATTTATGTTGAAATCTGCTATATTTTGGCACAGAATATTGATGGTTAAACATGACTGAAAATGGATAAAGAATGAGCTCCTTACGCGCACATTTATTTTATTAGGCGGTCTCAGCTCTGTTAGCAGTTGAAATAAACAATGTTTTAAGATGTCAGACTAATCTGAACAATGATTGAATAAAAATGCAAAGAAATACTGTGGTTATTATAGAACTGCTTGTATTTTAATCAAAGTTACAGCTTCAGATAAAAAAAAATTAAATGATCTGGGCTTAACACGGTAAAAAGGATAATCATGATAAGGAACTTCATAAATTGCATGCATGGTCCGTTTCACAAAGCAGGTTTAACAAAGTAAAATCCTCACCTCTCAATTAATCTAGTCTCAGTTTTCAGTTTCATAAAAGCTGCTTTAATTTACATTTATCAACTCAAAGTCAGTCCATTCAGAGTTTGACATGTTCATAACAACAATTATGAAATGCTATCATCAGTAGAGCCCTGATTTGACGAGTCACCATGACAACAGGAAACAGGAAGTGTCTACTTTCCACCTCTGGAACTAGACAATTTAATACAGAAATAGAATGTGATTAAAAAACAGAAACATTGCTACAGCTATAAAGGAGAGGAAGATGGCAAAGGAGAAGATTTTTGCTAAAGTTAATGTTTATATGGCAGACTGTTTTGACATTTATTAGATGCTCTATCCTCTCATTTGCTCCATTTGTAGATCACTAAAATAACATTCTTCCTGGTCAAAATAATATTCCTCATTGGAACTGTAATAACTTAATTTTTGCAGCAGATATTGAATTTCAGAAAACAAAAAAACAAATCTGTACTATTAAGAATTAAGTTTTATATACTTAAAATACATTTCTTTATAAAATAAACGAAATGATGACCAGTAACAATAGGAATAAGGAGATTGGAAATTAATTTCTCCAGAATATTTATTTATATATGAAGAATGTCATGTTGTATTAAATGGTAATTTTGAAGTAAATATGTATTCAAGATATCAGAAATATAAATTCAGTCAAACTTATACATATCAAAACGTCCTGCCATAGCCTGTTGTAAACTTAAAAATTAGTTTACTGGGTGAATGATAGGGATTCAGGTGAAAACATCTGGCAGCAAATGAGGATGAACTATAAAAAGAGGTAGGACCTCTTGATCATGTCTTGGGTTCCTCCTCAGTTTGATTCTATCTTCCAACACACAGTAAATACTAAGTGGCTGGTGGCCGACGCTTTGGATGTTATTATTCCAATAAATGGACACTATTAGCAGTTATCGATTACAGAATGGCTTGAGGTTGTGCTTCCTATGTACCTCTCAGTATCCTCAGTAGGTTGTTATCACAGAATAAATCCTAATCCTAAAGTAATTCCTTTTTTTCTGTGGATTTAATTAATGTATTCACGTGTAATCTGAAAATAATTTCAGCATTTCTTCATGTATTGTAAACAAAATAAAATAATAACTACATGTCTCTCATATTAAACAAACAAAAAAAATAACTTTTATATCATGTTAATGTAGAATCCTCTCCCTATAAATATTTAATTTTCTGTTAATTAATGCCGATTACTCTTTAATAAGATCCTCATCAAAAGGACAAGCAATGTTTATAAAGCCTAATGTGTCTAACAGACCTGCTGAATGATTTTTTTTTTCTTATTGTCTGCACAAAACTTAGACAAAAATCTCCTTGCAAAATCATTTAAAAAAAAAAAACAACGTGATTGCCTCTAAGGAGAGCAGAGACAGAGGACACTGAGTTTATTGAACAAAAACTTTCTCCCGACCAGGTTAACTCTGGGGAGAATGTTACAACAGGAACATAAACAGAGGTTGAGTAAACTGTCTTTATGAAAAAGGAAAACTCATGAGTTTCCCTGGTTTCAGGTTTAAAAGACTTAGAGTTTTCAGTAAACGTGATTTTTCAACCGATCCCTGGTCAATGCAAGTGTATTGAGGAAATCCTTCCTAAAACTGTATTTGGAACCTTCATAGGTGTTGGTGGAGAGGAGAAAAAAAACAATTATGTTTGTGTTAGGGAAGAAAAACAGTGAGAAACCTAGAGTAATGAGAGATGATAAATAGAAGGAGGGAAAGGAATACTGCAAAGGAGCAGAGAATGTGAAAGAAAAACAAGTTGAGAGGACAGATTAGGCTTGACAGGCTAAGGAAGACAGTATAATGATATATTTTTTCTTAGTGCGCCTAAAATTGTGCTAGCAGCAAGGTATGTGCATCCATGTCCAGTCTAAGTTTACACTTCTTCTTGTTGAATTCCTCTTCCCCTGACGCTAGGGGACAAACTGTCAAATTGAAGATTATTCTAAAAGTCACGAAATAACAGATTTTCCCTATCTGCCCGAACCTTTTCTATTTAGCTTTAAGTTATAGAAACAATGACAAAAAAAGAGGAAAGAAAAGCATGTTAGTGGTCTTTTTTGTGCTTTAAATGTTGCATTAAGGTCATATATTACCCTTACTAAATCCTTATAACCTCAGTGGGAGTTGAAAAAAACATTTGTGTAGAAGGTCTTTTTTCATAATCTCACCTAGAGGCATACATTCTTTGGTTTCCCTAATTTATTCACATTAAGGCAGTCACAACTGTCAGGACTACTCATTAGGGCTGCAATAATTAGTTGATCAACAATTTTGATTATGGAAAATTATTGACGCAAGATTTCATGCATCAAAGCCTTGTTTATTGATGCATAAACATTGCTGCTTCTATAAATATTTCACTCACAGAATCATGATGGGGTCGTTTAAAGTCTCTAATTTACTCTAATATGTCTTTTGCTCTTTTTTCTGGTTTTGATCTTTACATAAGTATAGATTTTCATTACTTTTAACAATCTTCACTGTTTGGAGTTTATTTTTTCTTAGGTTTTAAATAAGAATTTTTCATTTTGGTATTACCTGAATAGTTAAGAGCGGTTCCATGCCTCATGTCTCTGTACTATTCATGTCAGTTTTGTGACCACTTTGGTTTCTATTTTTGTCTTTACTGAAGCCTAAACTATTTTGCAAAGATGTGAGAACGTCTCTGAGACCTATAGCTGCTGCATTGCATTATAATTTCAATACTAGGGTTCAATAATAAAAAAAGAAAAGAATGACAAACAACTGACTTTTAAACGCTCTCCAACATTTCAGTTTTCCTCTGTCACAATTATGCTGGAGACAGACCGATACACTGGCTGCATATTCTTGGCCGATAATAGTGCACAATGTCAGCGTTAATAAAGGACTTTTTTTAAACTGACACTTGTAAAATATTTGCTATCAATTGATCATATAAATGAAAAAAATCGGCAATATACTGTATATTGGTTACATTGATGTCAAAAAAGGCATCTACCTCAAAAAACATAAAGAATTCTCTAGTCTGTGTTGATTTTCTGCTTAAAATCCCAAATAAACACAATATAAATTGTGGTTGTAACATAAAGTAAAATGAAAATATGACTAACTTTGCAACACACCATAAAGTGACACTTCAACCTTTTCCCAAAACTAATTTAAAGGGTTTTACCTCACTGATGGCGACATAGTAACGAGGCTGCTGGAAATGTGGTGCATTGTCATTGCGATCTCGTACAACGATGCGGACCTCATGCAAAATCACTGTGCCAATCAACTCATTGGTGCATTGAACCTGGACCACGATGGACTGAATATAGGAAGGTGGCTGAAAAAGAGAGACAAGAATATAAATGAGAAACCAATGCAGAGTTAAAAAATTAAAAACATTAGCTAATTTTTAGAGAAAGCTAATGAAAATACAGCTGAAGCAGCAGACTATGTCTTTTCAGAGAAGATGGACTTTGAGTTCTTTAAAATGGGAATAGTGGTTAGATAGAGAACCATAAAAATGCTTTTCTGATATCAAGTTTTCTCTTCATAGGATAGACAATAAATATACCTATGCCAATTTGCTTTGAAATTGAAAAACACAAAATACTTGCAACAATTTCCGTATGACTAACTGCCACCAAGATAAACTGTAGACCCAAAGTTTGCAGACATTTTATTCTATAAGTTTACTTTCCTTAAGAGTAATCTAAACTATAATTGCCTCCTCTTTGTTTCACAATCAACGGCAATGCAACAACTCGGAACTATTTGCAAATATTTGACATATTCTTTAAGTTTTAATTAAAATAAAGAACCTTTTTAGGTCTCAAAATGTATTAGGCCTACAGATAACATTATCTATCTGATAGAATCTGCCACAACAAATCACCAGTATTGTTCTGAAGGAGATTTAATCTTTGGGAACTTTAAAAAAGGTATACAAAGGCAAAGTCAAGTAGATGACTACAACACACTAAAAGGCTTCTGGAAAAAAAATGTTCCTGCTCTACAGACCAGATAAAAAACTGCACATTTTCTATGCAAAACATGTTAACACTAGAAAGAAGCATTTGTTACTATTGCATTTATAGTAGGTGAAAAAATTCTGGGTAATAAACTAAACAAAACCGAAGAAATGTTAAAATGTATTAGAATCCATATGAACATTCATTTAATACTCAGGACTTCAGTCCTGATCATTCTGTACAACTTAACTGCCATTTTAATATGACATGAGGCAGTTGTGACAAAGGGGTAATCATCTGGACATGAAAAACAGACTTTCACTACACTGCACACCATCATGCATGAAATGAGAAATGTTTTGTTAACTAAAATAAAAATCTAATTAGGATATTGGTGTCATGTTAGGTAGACTGTTCATTATTTTAGCTAATTAAGTTATGAAATTTTAATAAATTTATGAAGAAAAATATGAAATGTATTAGAGTTGGGGTGGTGTATTTTTTGTGGAACGTTGAAACAAAATGGCTCTATTAGTTCTAATCTGCATGTTGACAGCAACTGCTCTGTTTTAGCTAATGTCCCAGTTGTGAAACTGTGAATGGTTTTTGACTGAGATGCCTCTGACTTTGTATAGCCCTTCTGTGGGAAGGAGCCTTGTTGCCAAAAGTAACATGATATGGCAGTGTTTAAAATAGGTGGCATCCAAAAAATTTAATGTTGTATTAACTCATACAACTCATTGTATTTTGTAGCAAGTTCTTGAAAGAACCTGCTGTAGTCAGGAAAGATCTCATGTAGTGGTCTCTCTTGGCCTGGATCTAGAGAAGTCTTTAACTTAGAGGTATACAGGATGATTTTATTTCCGGGTGGATCATTCACATAAATGGTCCTCCTGATTGTCAATCATTCTGGTGATATATTTACCTAAGACCGTCCTACGTGCTTGCCCCATTAGCTATCTTTTTCTGTGCATGCGCACTTTTAGCCACATATGTATGGTGAGCTACTGTTTCAGACAGTCATTGAAGCTCATCTTTCTCACTGTAGTTCTTTGAACCTGATAGTGGCGACTAATAACAAAGATTGCGCAAGGACCACGCGTGGAGGAGGAGAACATGTCCAACGGAGTAAAAAGCAGTGATCACCTGTCCAAACGGTCAGTTAACTGAGTTTGCTATACATGTAAAGTCCACTATATAGTCCCCACTGTATGTGGACACAGTAAGCTTGTATGACCTATGAGAAAAGCACATTTTATACAGGAAGTCAATGAGGAAAAAATTGGCTTGTGCATGCTCCTACACATGCATTTTGTTTAAAGTGGAGAGGGCGGGTGTTTTTAAAAAAATCCTCCACAGTACCTTTAAGACACTATTGTTATCATTATTGTGTTATCACTATTTGCTATCATTGTTATATGGATGGCTAAACCTTACTGCAAGACTTAAACATGATATAAAGCCTTTAAACAAAGATGCAGCAGCTATGGATGTTTTCTTCAACAGTCTTAGATTGGAATTCCCCCTTTTTTATATTCCGCTTTTACTTCAAACAAGATAAATTCAAAAGTTCTTGCCTGACTATAAATATTCTTTATATTTAAAAATGAGCACAATATATTTTTAAATGTAAAATTAAAACAGCGTAAGATTTTACAGAGACAAAGATTATATATATGAAATATTCTTCTATTTTTAATAATCAGAAAAAGAAAATATGATATTTGCCAAAAAAAATCTCAGAAAACTGAAAATATTCTACCAACAATGATCTGTCCCATAATGGCAATACATAATAAATCAAGAAACAAAGAAACCACATTAAAACAGTTATCATAGAAGTGTTTCTTACATCTCTGTCAAGAACTCGTCCAGTGCTGTTTAGGTAAAGAGCCTGCCTGGCAGGGTCAAGAATCACCCAGTAGTCGTGGTTGTCTCTTAGAGACAAAGAAATGGTATGATCTGGACCCTCAGCCACACCGTTGATCTGCATGTTCTCCACCAACAATGTTCCTGAAAAAGAAATTATAAAACAAAATATGGGTAACACTTTATTTGAAGGGGTGTGGATAAGACTGACATTACATTGTAATAAACATGAGATAACACCTGTAATGAACATGAACATGAACTCTCCAGTTGCCGCTTGGTCAGATGATACCACTGAGAAACTGAGGGATTGTTTCAGAACCACAGACTGGAGCATGTTCCAAAGCTTTCATGGTGATGACCAGAGGCATTGCTAGGCACAAAGCTTTACTGGGGCACTGGCCCCCTAGTGCATATGCCCCTCCTTCCATACATAAATACAGACAAGCACACTGCCCAACCCTTATTTATTCCTACTAAAATTACCAGTTGAGATATTAATGAGTATAAGAGCATATTTGTTTTAACAAACATGAACATTTTCAACATTGCAGCTATAAAAAATAAGACATCAACAACTTTGACAAATAAAGTTTCCTTATACACATTCTGAAGTAATCATTAATTCCTAGGTTACAGAGTTTTAGTTTGGGGGAAAGTTTAACTCATCCTGAGCTAAGTTTTCCTTTTATTTTTTGAGCATTAAAGTGTACCTCCTATTTATCATTTTTGCAAAGTGGTCAATCACTAGACTGTAACTCAGCTTAGAAAGATCTTCCTTTTCAACTGATAAAATAGCAAGATGATGGAGCCTGTCTTGTCCCATTTTGCACCTGAGCCAAGTGTGGATCCTTCTCAACACACTGAATGACCTTTCACAACTACAGCTGTTGACTGGGATTGTGAGGGAGATCTGGATTAGAGCATGAAACGGGCCTTGAAAGTCAGCACGAAACCGACCCGAGTCCGAAAGAACCAGGCCCGTGCCCGGCCCGGCCCGTTATGATTGACAGCTTCGTAGAGCCCGACCCGTTTGCAGCCCGACATTTTTCATCTCCGTTTTTCATCTCCGTTTCACTTCTGTAACATCCATTTTGCATTCATCGCGTATAGATCGAACGTTATCACATGATCATTTACTTGCCGCGCATATAACGGTTTAAAGCCCGAGCCCGGCCCGGCCCGAATGAAATAATAAAAAGTACAGCCCGAACCCGGCAGGACCTCTCAGGTCCCGTCGGGTTCGGGCTAATATTCCCTGCTCTAATCTGGATGACCTGCGTTAGTGTTGGGAACATGATGTTATCAAGCAAGTTGAAAACACACTGCATATCCTTGATGACAAGGCTTTCTTTTTCAACCAGGAAAAGCTTTCAAACCATTTTGAATTAAATGAACGTTTTTTTACTCCAAATTTGTGCTGGGGATTGTGGGACAACTTCACTTGTTTAGGACCATCATGCTTTCCCCCTAAGTCACTAATGTCCCCTTCTTGTTTGTGGACGCTGGTTGTTGCTCCCTCATCACCTTCATGGTCCTGTCTCACCTGTTTCTTGCCTGTCAGTCTCGCCTCCTCCTCCCTTTCCTACTGCAGCACCTTCATTCTCATTCTCTACAGCAAACATTAAAAAAACTTAAATTTATAATTATGTAAATATCTATCATATTGCTTATAACGTCCCTAATGTAACTGCTTAGCTTAAATCACTAACTCATTACGGGACCTTACCTCCCTCTCTCTCATCTTGTTTTACTGCTTCCCTGTCTCTGCTTCGTGTGAGGAATTTCCTGATATCCATCTACAAACCAATGCAGTAATTTTCAGTTAGTAGCCTATAAATCATGTGGTTTTACTGGGAAAATAATAAAATTGACAGGTAAGAAACGTTACCACAACTAAAAATGCGTCGTGGCCGCACAGTGTCCCATCCAACTCAGTTGAGAGCAGCGTGTTAATTTACCTGCAGTTCATGCAGTGACATGCGCTGACGTGGGGGCGCTATTACATCCTCAATTTGGAGTTACCAACACACTTGCTGCGCATTTGAGTAGAAATATACGTCTCTTTCCGTTGGAATTATCTAAATTGATGCATTAAAAAAATGTAATACTGTTGTAAATATTCATGAGATTTATACTGGGGCAAAGCTCATTTATACTGGGGCACGTGCCCCAGTAAATGGGGTCTGGCGACGCCGATGGTGATGACATCAACAGCCTGTGTGAGTGTATCATCAACTACATAACCTTCTGTGTGGAGAGCATGGTGCTCACATGACAGGTTCCCAAACAACCACCCCTGGATGATTCCTGAGCTGAAAGTCCTCCTGAACTAGAAAAAAAGGGTTTTCAACCCAGGGGACAGAGAAGAGCAGCGTAGAGTCCAGCATGAGCTCTAATAAAGGATCAGGGCAGCAAAGAAGGACCATGGGAGGAACATAGAGGAACAGCTGGCACAAAACAACATCAGAGATGTGTGGAGGGGTCTCAAGACATCTCCGGCTTTGGGCAGGGGAACACCACCAGTAGGGCTGCAAACAGAGACACCAAGTTTGCAGACAAGTTAAACAGGTTTTTCACACGCTTCTGTCTGTGTTCCTCTTCACCCTTTACACCTTGGACTTCACCTACAACATGAACAGCTGCCATCTCCAGAAGTTCTCAGATGACTCTGCAATTGCTTTGTTTCTGAGGGGAGCAATCTGAAGTATCGGCTGGTCATCATGCACTCTGTAGACTGGTGTAAGAAGAACCACCTGTATCTTAACACCAGTAAAGGATTAGTATATGCTCAGAAACCAGGTCGTCTGCATGTGTGTCGCAGTTAACGCAGACATGCCCCCGCCCCTTCCGAATACACTCTGGTGTACCTCTTCAAAAGTATAGGTGACTGCAGAAAGTACCGCAGACTGGAGGCCTCTGATTGGTCCAATCTACATCTGCTCTACACTATGCATATTTCCTGTTTGGTACCTTACCAGCTTGTTCTGCTTGTATGACCGCCATTGTTGAAAACGACCCTGGGGGGACCCTTTTTCCATCTGGATCCCCGCTCTTTCTCGCCCTTATGTTCCTCCGTTGTCGCACAAAACTACCCTTTGCATTTTTCCACTTCCTCACTGCCTTGGACATATATAGACCCACAGCTAGTTTGTGATTATCCCTCTTGCATTGTGGTGTGGAATAACATAGCGCAGACCACGCTTCCATATTGGGCATAAATGAAAAATATCTGCATTGTACCTGCGACAAGCTTACTGCGATACACTGCTGAAGGAGTATACACAGCCCTTAAAACCAAAGAGATGGTGATCGACTTCAGGAGAAGACCCCCACCTCAGTCTCCAAAGAACATCCAGGGGCAGGACATAAAAGCCGTGGATGGTTTCACATACCTGAGTGTTAATGCCAATAACAAACTGGACTGGACTCATAACACAGACACCCTGTATAAGAAAGCCTGAGGTCCTTTGGAGTGTGGAGGCCCCTGCTTAAAACCTTCTATGACCTGTGTTGGCATCAGCTTTCCTCTACACTGTTGTCTGCTGGGCCCCTGGCAGTGCAGAGTGGGGCAGAAAGAGACTGAACAAACTAGTGGGAAAAGGCGCTTCTGTCCTAGGCTGCAATCTGGACTAAGTGGAGGAAGTGGCTGAGAGGAGGATGCTGTCCAAGCTGACTGTAGAGGAGCTGAGCAGCTCCTTTAGTGTAAGACGTTCACATCCTGTTTGTAAAAAGGAGCACTACCGCAGGTCATTCATCCCTGCTGCAACCAGACTCTACAATGCAACACTACAACAGCAATAACTTGTGCAATGTATAATGTGCAATTACTATTTGATACCCTGTACGATACTGTCATATGTGGACACACTGTATTTACTGCATATATCCCATGCACCTTTTTCTTCCTTTGGCACATTCTTCTTTGACTATTTAGGCTGATGTAACAAGTACATTTCCCCACTATGAGATCAATAGTCATCAATCAACCAATCAACCAATCAATCAATCAATCAATCAATCAATCAATCAATCACTTGACTTTTAGAGACAGACAGGTGAACGGTGGAGGGAGCAGCACTATATTCTATTTTGATAAACTCATAGAAGAAGAAGAAGCGTCAATGGCAGAGGAGGAAAAGATGTCCATGTGACTGTGGGCAAAAGAGATGCATGCTGAGCTTGTTTCCGAAATGAACCTGTTCAAGAATGTATTAAGTTCATTGGCACTGTCCGGACTTCCTTCTGTCTGATTATCCTTCTGCTTGAAACCTGCTTGATCTTCTTCATCCCCAACCACACATCTCCCATATTGGGCTGCTGGAGTTTACCAATTCCTGTATGCTTCCTTGCTTTCTCTTATCATGACTCTAAGTTGCTTACTGTATGTATACTACTCATTAGTTCCCTGTCTACCTTCTTAATGCTTATTTTTTGTTGCTGAAGAGCTGCTTCAGGTCACTTGTGATTCATGGTTTATTATTTAGAAAGCATTTCCCTATTCTAGTAGAGATGGTGTTATCTACACAGAAGTTTATGTACTCAGTCATTGCATCGATGTCCTCTACATGTGGCAGACACAGTGCGTCCCAGTCTGTAGCCTCAATACAACCTTGCAGGGCTTCTACAGTTTCCTGTGACCATCTTCTTACTGTTCTTTTTAATGCAGACTGTCTCTTATGTAGTGGTTTATACTTTGAGCAGAGAAAAAAAACAAAATTGTGATCTGATTTCCAAAGAGGAGGTCTTACTTCAGAGATGTATGAGTCCTTGATATTTACATAAAACAAGTCCATGGTTTTGTTTTTTCTGGTACAGCAGTTGACAAACGGGTGGAACATTGGCAATGAGAAGAGAATTAGGTGTGATTAAAATCACAAGTTATTGCCACAAATACATTTGGCTATTATGTCTGTAGCTTAGCAACAACAGTGGTGACAGTAACCCTAGCCGAACGCAAAACTGGTGAAAAGGAGTCAGAAAAGATGAGGAGGGGAAAAATGTCAGTGGCCTCCATCTGTAAAACCATTCCTGTTTTGATGGCCATCACGTTGTTGCCCCTCTAGTGCACCTGTTGTTAATTTCATTAACACCAGAGCAGCTGTAACTGAATAACAAAACCCCTCTGCTACCTACCTGACCAA